TTAAGGATTAGGGTTTCAGACATAGTGAATAACGAAAGAAGCGCCGACATCAAACAACAGAATTAGCTTACATCACTCAAGGAGATTATTTTAATTTATAGTCATGTTTTCTTTGACCTGTTTTATATTTGATTTTGGCTACCCTAAAAAATTAAGTGGACTTCTAATTTAGGCTTTTTTTATCATTCAATCCCACAAAAATTGTCATTTTGTTCAAATGTCTTAAATATTTGACACATATCATTATTTACTAACTAAATACAATTATTTATGTTGTAATATATTTTGCTGGTATTTTTATAGTATTTGTTTTTTTTTTAAATTTCCTATATGATCTATAGTACCAAATACAATAATTATTTTAAAAAATAAAACCATTATATGTCTTAATTTGAAGATAGTGATTTGTAGTGATGGGGATTCTATTGATAAACAAATCACAAACGTTGTATATAAAAAATGATTTAACAATATTTAGTTATTCTTTTTTAAAAACATTTTTACAATAATTATATTATGATTTTTACGATTATTTATATCTTTTTATTATTTTTTGTTCTATTATAATGCTTTCCGTGCAAATGCACGGGTTACAAACTAGTAATAGTTAAAATGTTAAAACTAGGTTGATAGATACATAAGGCAGATAAAAAATACAAGTCCTATCAAAACTATATCATTTTATTTTATCAATTAAATCTGTTGAATAAAAGAAGTTGCCCGTTATTTTAATATCAAATATATTATAATGGCTAGTCTACTTTCTTAAGCAAACAATCTCAGCAAGAAGAAATATATAGCAGCTTTAATAATAGGAAACGAATTAGAGTTTCTTCAAATTGTATCATTGGTCAACTCGAAGACTATCACAATTCACTCATGGTAACTGTTCTATTTAAATTTAGCAACTTCATCTCTAATTTATTTAATAATTTGGGATGGCTCATTAGTTAATTAACTAATTAATTAATACTAATATATTAGACGGTTGACATTTATTTTGAAGTTTGGTCATATGATGTGATGGTCAATTGGAGCGAACAATTAGTCTATGTAATTATAAATTCTTGATACGTATGAAACCAGGGAAAAGAATAATATTAATTGCATACTATAAAACTAGTGCGTATCCCGTGCGATGCACGGGTAAACAATATTAAATAATAATTATAAATAAGTATCGAGTTCGAGTCACCAAATGAAAGAAGTGGGGAACCACTATTAATCATCTCTTAAAAGAGCAAGAAAATATATTATAAATTACAGATGAGGGTAATCGATATTAAATAATAATTATAAATTAACGATGTGGGGTTAACATGTCATATAATTTACGGTATATCAGTTTATTATAAACTATATAAAAATAGATTGTTCACGAGAACATACAATTTGTATATTTAAACAACTAAAAACTTCTAAAATATTGTATTAACATATGTAAAATTATCTAAAATTTTCTATATTATTATTAAAAGATGTGAAGTCACCTACAACTTTTCTAACTATTTTGTAAAGAAAATATAACTAAAAATATTAAAGTTTATATTTGTATGGAAGATGTTTTCTGAATATGACATGATAAAATATTATAAGCCTAAATAAATAGATTATAAAGTTTTTGAAAGAAAATTTACCTAGTATATATAAAATAAATATTGACATGGTGCTGAAAATAATGACGATACTACCGTAAAATTTGAGTATAGAAGATTTCAAAATTATTATTATCCTTTTGAGTAATTTGAGTACAAAAATTTTGAAAATTATTATTATTATTCTTTTAAGTAATTTGAGCACAAAAGTTTCAAAATTATTATTATTTTTTAGTTAATGTGAAAAGAAATTTTGTAGACATAAAATTCCACGCTTTATGTAGATTTATTGAACGGAGACTAAGACAATTTTGGGAAAAAAAAAAAATGTCTATTTTCAAAATTATCCTCTTGATTTTCAATGCATTTGTAATTTGACTTAATTATTGTAAAATTTTGAAAGTTATGGAAAATAATTAAAGAGATGAATTTCAATTGATTTGAAATTCTTAAACCATTTTGAATTTCGTGCAGATTGAAACAAAAAAAAAAAATGGAAATTCATTATGATTTTTGTAATTTCCAATAGGTTTGTTAATTTTAAAACGGCACAAAATCCTTCATTTAAGGATATGGATAGAATCACGTGATTAGATATTTTTGAAATTCAATTTTAACAAAATCCTTTATATTAGGAAGAGATTTTGAATTAAACCTAATTTTATGGCAACTAAAATGAGAAGAGATTTTGAATTTCAAATTTTCAATTCAAGTTCTAAGGAAAATTTATCGTCAATCAAATTGTTTGCAATAAAAAACACAATCAAATTTTTTAAAATCGAATTTATAGGTAAGTTGTAAATTTTTCTCGTCTATTTAAAAATATATGTGAATAATAAGTATATTTATAAATCATATAATGTTTCTTTAATTAAATGATTTTGTTTTTATATGAAATATTCAAATAAAAAAATTGAAGTGGTTGAGTAATTTATTAAACTATGAATATTAACTATTTCATTTACGTCGTCAAAGTTAATGTTGACTCGTAAGTTATGAATAATTACTTATTTGACTTATGAATGGAACTCAAATTTGGACTACACACTAAATTCCCTTATATATTTGATGTATGAATATAGTATATATATAATCTCGTAATTTTCTAAAGTTGTTGTCGGTTACTTTATCGTTCAAATTTATCAACTAATTTTCTAGAATTAAATTATAAATTTTTAATCTTATTGACCAATATTTTTTCAAATTTTATGATAGCATATCAATAAAAATAAATATAAATTAAGTAGAAACAAAATAATTGATTGAAATTTTTTGAAAATTTTAATCAATAGATTTAGATCAATTATTGTTTTCACATTAACTTTAATAAAAAAATTACGTATGCATATAAATTATTCGCACTAAATATTTACTAATAACTACCAAATTATTGCTATTCATTTTTTTTGGAAATCAAATAGCTCATCTGGGTTTTTTTTTATTTTATTTTTTTTTTATATATATACCAAAAATATCTGAAAAATCCATATAAATAAGGATTTTTCCCAACAAATGGGCATTTAGTTAAAGCTTCTTTAATTATGGTATTTTTAGTATGTAATTAATGATCTTGTTTCTAAATTTATAAAAAGGTTATTCTTTTTATAAAATGATAGATATATTTTATTATGAAAATAATATCCTTTTATACAAATTGTTGTTTAGCACGTTGGTACTGAAAAGAGTGATTGATGAAAATTATTTAAATAGAAAGATATTGTTAAGATTTTATCATATAAATGATTTATATGGAGCCTTGAAAGAGGAGATTTATTATATGAAGAATTAAAAAGAGAAGATTTATTCCATAGTATCCGCAATTAATGCTTGCTGTTTTGTTAATAGAGCCACAAAAAATCGGAAATCTTGGCGTGAAAAAATAATTTATTCCATAAACAATTAATGTTAATCCAAAATAAATAAGAGCATTTTTAAGAAATTATGTGCAATTAATGCTCGTTGTTTTGTTAATGGAGCCACAAAATGATTTGTTCCATAAATAAAAATCGGAAATAATGACGTAAATGATTTATTCCATAGGTAAGCGCAAATCGTGGCCACGAAGAATAGTAAAAAATTTATTCCATAAAAAAATTAATGTTAATCGGAAATAATTAAGAGCAATTTTAAGAAATTATGTTAATTTACTATTTTTAGGCTATAATTAATGATTTGGCGAGAAATAGTTTCTAAAATTGAATTAAGTTAATCTATACTTATATTAAAGGGAAACCTATTTACTAAATATAGTAGGTAGAAAAGTCAACCTTAATTAATGAACTTCTAATTTTATCAAGTAGTAATTAATGCATTTATAATTTTAATCAAGTTTCCTATTTTACATATTGTTTTTAATCCTTCTTATCTTGACATAAAAATTACCATAAAATGGGGTGAACAAAAACAATCAAAATTCTGTTTCTAAAAACTACAAATCAATATTACGATTTTGAATAATACACTAACAAATTATAATATATTTTTATAAAACTTATAAAAAACTATTAAAAAAACTTGGTTCGTATATTTGTATGGATATTTATATTTTTTTAATATTATCTTTGTGTTAAAAAAACTATTTAACACTATTTTTTTATTATATAATAAAATAATAATTAAATATTATATGATGAACAAGAATAAATAAAACTGTTACTTTTTCTTATATCAAGGGATAAACATATATAATGAATTTAAAGTTTTATTAGTATAAATATTTTATTAGATATTATTTTACAAGTTAGCCCTAACATACTCATATTTAATGTTCTGGCTAAAAAACAATGCTGGTTAAAAGATATGAAAAAAAGCTTATAACCTTATTGTTTTTTAGACTTAACGTTGATTAAAAGAGGTAGAAAATAGATAATAACACTATTACTTTTAAGATTTAAACGGACAAGGCTGTTAAAATAACTCATTTAATATCTATGTTCCGTGCATCGCACGGGGTACATACTAGTACTTATTATATATTAATAGATTCACTAATGCTAAGTACCGTTCTAATTAAATTTAGCAACTTCATCTCGAATTTATTTAATAATTTGGGATGGCTCATTAGTTAATTAACTAATTAATTAATACTAATATATTAGACGGTTGACATTTATTTTGAAGTTTGGTCATATGATGTGATGGTCAATTGGAGCGAACAGTTAGTCTATGTAATTATAAATTCTTGATCCATATTTAATGAGGGAAAAGAATAATATTAATTGTATCACAAGGTGTCGTGGTGTAGTTGGTTATCACGTCAGTCTAACACACTGAAGGTCTCCGGTTCGAGTCCGGGCGACGCCATTTTGAAATCTCCTTTTGCTCCATTTTCTATTTGCTTTTTTTCACTCGTTCCTTACAGCATGCCTACGACGTCGTATTGCTTCCTTCGTAGTTCTTACATTAACCCGGCCTTTACGCGCCAACGCGTAGCACACCTGCGGCTAGTAAGACACGTCACTAAACCATCGTGTCCAATGAAATCCACCCACGGCAGTCCCCAGCATCACTATCTCGATTCCCATTGGTCCAATTTCTCCACGTCATCAATTTCCGGTCTCTGGTGCACATACGCCAACATTTGTTTCGTGTGTGGTTAATATACATTCCCGCAATACTATATTCTCTGTTAAATCATCTGCGAACAATCTAGCGGTCCCCTCGAATTTTCTTTTCGAAATCTCTGTCATTTGTTCTCTGTAATTCTCCATGGACGTGAAGCTGCGATACCCATTTTTCGCCGGCGCGTGGTGTTTGTTTCTGATCGGAACCCAGTTTTCGAAATCGACGGCCTCGGTTGCTAACCAAGATTTCAGTCCTCCGTATTCAAAAGCTATTTCGGTAACTCTTTGATTTATTCAATTTAATTAGATTTGTTGTGATCGTGTAGATAGAAATGATGCTTCTTCAGTTGACATGGGGTTTAATAATTATTCGTGGGAACTTTTTTTTGGGTCATTATAATTTTGTAGGATTTGAAGGAAGCAATTGTGAAAGGGTTAGGGTTCCAAGCTGAGGATTTTAAGATATCTGGGTTCGATTTGAGGGATGCCCAGGTGGGGAAGTCTGTGGCGTATGAATTCGATGTGGAGATTGATAATCAAGTGATGCCGTTGAAGTTGTTGGAGGATGTGAAAAGATGGGAATACGTGGACTTACCCATTTTCCAAACGGAGCACCCTGTTCGGCCCGGGGACGAAAACGGGCTGCTACCGAGAAGGAAGTTTGATGATAAGATGCCCGTGCTTGCCCCGTTTCAATTGGCGGGTCCCATGGAGCTCTGGATTCAGGATGCTGATCATATGAGGATATCGTTGCCTGTAAGTCCCTTGTTTCCCTTTAACAATGATGATAATTCTTATGGAGATTTCTTGATGTTGGTTGCCTTGCACATAGTTGAATGAATGCATATGAGAACGAATTTTTTAGCTTATAGTGTGGCTTATTTTTATTTCATGAAGAATGATTGATGGTGAGAATATTGGCCTCTACATCAATAATGCCCTTTAGCTGTTGATTTACTTGTGCATAGCTGAGTGAATATATATGTGAATGAAACTTTTTCTGATTATACTGGGGGATTTAATGAAGAAATGAGAAGGGTGAACAAATAGCACTCCCGATGTGTTGAGAGTGTCAAAACATGCTTCTTGTTTTCGAATAAATCCAATGCTGCCTTTTCTTATCAGTGTATTGTAGAAATTCCATAAGTTATCCATAATGCATTGCCAGTATTTGAGGACTGTATTTTGGCTTCTAATAACACATTCATACGTGGAAATGGGTAAGTAGCATCATGAAATTGTAATGTTCGAGACTTGCATGTTTTTTATTTTTCTTTCCATTTCAACATGTTCCCATAGTATCAAGATCAAAAGAATCGCTACCTGTTTCTTACTAATCATTGGCTCGAATCTAAATATATCCATTACACCTCCATCGTTTTTCTTGATCCTTTTCGCTTCTTTCTCAAAAATCCCGTGCAGCACGATGTGGATGCCGGTGTCTTAAAGAAAGTCGTCCTAGCAGAAGGGGCCGTGGTCACCGTCAAGGGCGCCCGATCTGTCAGTCTCCGTCATCCGGTCGAGCTCCCTCTCCCCTTCAACCGCACCACCGGCTCAACCTTTGCCTCGGGCCTCCTGACCCTAGCTGAGTACCTCCAGAGTGCAGCCCGTTCTTCAAACGGGCCCATAATCTCCCTCCGGATAGTGGGCCCCACGTCCCTCACATCCCCTCCCTCGCCTTCACGGGATGGCCGCCTCAAGCTCAAACGCCTTGCCCCGGGCCTGGTGGAGCTATCCTCCGCTTCGCGCACAAAATCTGGCCCAATCCCAGCAGTTGATCTCCACGGAGAATCGACAGCCTTGCTTGCTCCAGATCGATTCGCAGCCCTGTGGCCTGTGGTGTCGGTAAATGGGTCGAATCCAAACCTGGTTGGGTTTGAGGCCCTGCTATCATCCGTGTTGGGCCCACGGGCTGGGAAGGAGGGCTCGTTTAAGCTTGTGAGGGCGGATGTTTCGGCCCAGACGTTCATGAAGATTGGGTTCGGGGTGGAGAGGAAGCTGGGGGAAAGGGAGGTGGAGGGTATACCGGTGTGGAGGACGAAGCCATCGAGCGTGACCATGCATTTCGAGGTTCTGGCAAAAGTCGAGGGGAATAAAGTTGTTCCGGAGAGGGTGGTGCAGGTGAACCCTGTGATTGGAGAGGACACGGTTGAATCCAGTGTGCTCGTGGGGAATGTTACAATGTCGAGTGTCCAGCTGGTGCACCCGCCTCCGAACCCATTTTCGTTGTGAGTGCCTTTTCTTGTTGGGTTGTGTTAACTGTAACCTTTTTTCTTTTTGTTCCTTTTTGAAATGGAAGTTGAGGCTGAGAAAAAGTGTAGAGGTTCTTGTTTCTTGTAATAGGCTGTGCTGATATATATGTATATGACAGTTATGTGAGATGGGGCCTGATATGAGAGATGTATAGGTGTTGGTTGCCCTTTGATGTGAGCTTTGTTATTGTGGCATTAATTAATGACTTCAAATGTCGTCTTGCCATACGTTGAACTGCCATATACTGTTCGACATCCTTGTGGTTGCCTGGGAGAGCTTCTGGTTTTGTATGCAAGAAAACGACATACGTGATTTATTCTCTGTTTTTGGTCTCACAAATAGCGGTTTCAAGTTTGTCATTTGTCGTCGTTTGGACTGAATTTTTCAGGATTTTGTGATTACTCAAAGTCTGCACCCGCTATATTGTTTTCCACCAGAAAGGTTTTGTATCTGTTGCCTACAGTGTACAATGTTGAAGGTCAATCAAGTGAAGGGTAATAAACTCGATCAAAAGAGCAAAATGTGGTATCGATCAAGAGGGTAAAGGATTATGACTCCAATTTCCTGCAAAATGAATCCATATGTGAGTTACCCCCGACCCTACTAGTTTCGCATGCTCGCAGACTCACCTTCAAATTTTCAAGAGATAGTGAAATGATACCGAATCGAGTTGTTCACTTGTGAGCACGAGCTCGACTTGATTATTCGAGAGTGCCGTGCTCAAATACCTAATCGTGTTCGTGTATTAAAATGAGTCGAGCCGCTCTTGTCCGCAAACAACTCGATTTTATGTTCTTACTTTTTATCTTCTTACTTTTATAGGTTTAAAATTAAACGGTCGAAGCAAATTTATTTGCTAACATCTCATTAGGATTTTAGATCTATTAAACAAGTTAGGTCGAGTCAATCTGAGTTAACGAACTTATACAAGCCAAGCAATTTGTTCGTTTATTAAAGCATGAGTACTCGGTATGGGAGAAAGACCGTTGGGTGGGTTCGGGGTCGGACGGGAGATGTTGTACGTGATATGGATGGCTCCTCCGGGGGGGATGGATTAAAATGAATTCGGATGGCTCCTTTAACCCGTCGTCGGGGGTGACTAGCGCGGTTGGAGTACTACGCGATCATTTTGCTCAGTGGTTAAAGGGTTTTACCATGAATATCGGTTTTTGTTGGGCGGAATTATGGGGGCTTTTCCAAGGGCTCCGACTAGCATGGAGTTCAGGTTATCGTCGGGTAATTGTGGAAGTGGATAGCTTATGTGCTTTCTCGATTATTTCAAGTGTCAATGTTGAGCATGTGATACATAGTGCTTTAATCTTGGTCATTAAAGAGTTGTTGAAAAGGCAATGGTCGGTGAAGGTATTCCATGTATTCCGAGAGTCAACTTTGTTGCGGATTGCATGGAGAATGGCTGTTAGAAGCCCGGGTGGTTTCCAATCTTTCGATGTGCCACCGGCCCACCTGATGAGGTTCGAGAATAGTTACATCACGATATTGTCGGGGTCTCGTAACCTCGACCCATACCGATTTTGGTACTTGCATGTCTCTTTGTACCCAAAAAAAAAAAAAATGAGTACTCGGCCACCCCTAATAAAAATCATTACGAATGTATAAATCCCTAATAAAAATCAATACCAATATAAAAATATAAAACCAATAATCGGCCATTTTTTGCATTCGAATTTGGAGACATCAGCTAAATCAAATGAGCCTAGTGATTGCAACCATAACTCCAAAGACTCCTTTGCTCCCTTTCGCTCGCACTCTCACAGCGCAGAATTTCAGAACCCTAGGTCTCTCTCTCTCTCTCTCTCTCGGCATGTGCGCTTAATTTTTTCTTCCTTATGTTATTTCTTTTTTAAAGATTATATGTAAATGGTGTATTGATTAAAGGGGGTGTGCAGGAAAAAGGAATTTGGTTTTACTCAGCCAAAGTCGTAATCTTGAAAACCGTACCAGTGGGCTAAGCTTGGAAACTATGGAACAAAAGGAGCCGTCTCCTGAAATCGGTCGGACAATTCATCCAGATATTGAACCGTTCGATACGGGTTTTCTTAAGGTTTCGGATATTCACACAATTTATTATGAACAGTCGGGGAACCCAGATGGGCATGTGAGTTTTCTTCACTGGCAGGCTTGGATGTTTTCCCGTATTGTTATTTTTGTTGTGTGAAGAATGACTTTTTCATCTGTATAAATTCTTAGCTTAGTTGCAAATGTATTTGATGGGTTTTTTAGAGTAATGGTTAGACTTTCTGGGTTCTTGTTCAGGACCAGACAGAAGTTCTTTTACCGAGATTCCTCGTGTTAGTTTGGTTTGATTTTCTCGTGTACTCTGTGAATTATCATGTGATGCAGGTGGTTTGAGTTAAAACAGATATTCCTTGGAGCAAAATGAAACATGATTATTGATATTGTCAGCACTCGAAATTCTAATGTCACGATATTATGTATGTGTCAACTTCAATACATTATAGTTCACTCGCGATTTGGCATTGAGGGATATCACTCAAAGCCACGCGATTATCAATACAATTGGTTTAGTTCATTTTCCCATTTCTTGAAAAGGCATATTCGAGGGACTGTAGGAAAGTGCAAATTGTATAACTATATGGGAAATATCTGCATTCTCTGCTTTTGATATATATGTTGAAGAAAATGAAAATATAAAAGAATTAGATGCATTTTGTTCAACGTCCGTTTTATATTATCCCCAATCCTTGCAGCCGGCGGTTTTTCTCCATGGAGGTCCAGGAGCCGGGACTTCACCTAGTAACCGGAACTTCTTTGATCCTAGTTTTTACAGGATCATCTTATTTGATCAGGTTGGTATAACCTGAACTATTTGTTTTTTCGGTCCAATCTAGCTAAGTTTTTTTGTGTACCGTAACTTGTATGAAATCCTTTCAGAGAGGTGCTGGTAAAAGTACTCCTCATGCTTGCCTGGAGGAGAATACGACTTGGGACCTTATTGAGGACATTGAAAGGCTTAGAGATCACCTCAAAGTTCCAGAATGGCTGGTAAAAAAATGTTTTTACTGCTGATACCTTGTCTAATTTCTTCTTTATGCCCTTCCATTTGACATGAATGAGTTTGAAGGTATTTGGTGGTTCATGGGGAAGCACACTTGCTTTGGCATACAGTATATCTCATCCTGACAAGGTTACTTATTTATTTCATAGACATATCATGATTTTATTTCTAGTTATTTTGATATAAGAAAAGTAATATCCATATTTTGCACTGATGGTGAATTAGATAATTTTTATCATATTATCTTTAAGGTCACTGGCCTGGTTTTGAGAGGCATTTTTCTGCTGCGTAAGAAAGAAATTGACTGGTTTTATGAGGGTGGAGCTGCCGCAATATTCCCTGATGGTATTTTTTTCTTCTCTCTCTCTCTCTCTCTCTCTCTCTCTCTGCTGTAATATTCCCTGCTACATAAAAATTAAAGAGTCAAATTGAGATAGTGTTGCTCTCATCGTGCTAACTTGATTGTGATTATGTTTCTTTAAATTTATTATGTTTTCCTTCTACAACTCTTTTCACTCTATCTTTTGTTAGCTTGGGAGTCGTTTAGAGATCTTATTCCAGAAAGTGAAAGGGGATGTTTTGTCGATGCCTACCACAAGAGGTTAAACTCCAATGACAAGGAAACACAAGTAAGATAAATGTTCTTATTTTTTTCCTTTTGTGTTATTTTTTCTTTTTATTGATTTATATATTTATTTATTCTGACTGCCTGTTGCTCCTGAATGCCTTCTCATAAAAGATATAAGTTGCATGAATGAAGCATACCCTAAATATTTCATTTCTATTTTAAACCTTCCTAATTCTTTTTGAACTGATGATGAAAGTGACATCAACTCCTGCTTGAACCTGATCTCACCATCTTATTTGAGATCATCTTCGAATAAGACTAATCCAAGTGGACAAGGCTGGATCAATGGTTCACAAGGGCCCTAAGAAAGATTTTAGACCATTGCCACTGGCACCCATTGGGCTGAGTTTTTGAACAAGGTGGAAATCATGAACAACAAGATGATTATTATATATATGTATATATATATATATATATATATATTGTAATTAAATTATTTGGTATTTAACCTGTTACATAACTTTGAAAAACAATTATATGGTAGTTTGCCCCAAGGGGTGCGATTGGATATGAATTTCTTCATTGTTGTCTTGCTGGTCAAGATTATCTCATTGAAATTGTGAATAAAAAGAAAAATAAAAAACACTATGCACTTAATTTCATTTTTCTATGGTCTTACTGAAAAATAAAAATTAATCATTATTATACATTTTCAAACAAAAAAATTAGTACTATTCACATACTCGCGTATTTTTCCTACAAATCAGTACCAACTACCAACTAGTATTTTGATTATTTTTATATCACATCAACTCTAAACATTACATTTTTATCTTATATTCCTTCACAATCTTAAAACCATCTCACTTTTTCTAAAAACAATATTTTTTCCACTTTTCCATCTCTAATTTTGGTACACGACATTATTTTCCAAAAAATTATGTATCCAATCGCAACCTAAATACGTGGGGCCCTTAGCTGATGCATGTTGAGCTTACACTCAATAACCCTACAAGAGGACTACAGTTAAGAATGAGTTTTGGTGTTGTTTGAAAGCACTCTTATCAACATGCCAGACACTTGCTAACCTAGAAAGCTTATATAGTGTTGAAATTGTATCTCAATACCATGAATCTTCTACTTGTATTTTCATTAAAAATAATCATACCCATTGTGCAAATCTGTGTGTTCCTAAATTAGCTCTTCTCATTGCTCGAATAACTTTAATACGTGTTTTGCAATTTCTCATATATATGCATTGAATTTCATCACATTCAGGATTTGACACTTATTATAACCGGTAAGTTGTGGTTCTATTAAAAAATCTGATTGTTCACGACAAGTTTGTTCCCAGTATACACTTGATAGAACGTCTAGGAAATATTGAGAACACACAAAGTCTTTCTGGTTTTAGTTTTCTATTATTTGCATTCAAATCTTCAATCTCACATATCCAATTAGTAACTAAGTGTGACTGCGGCTGTAAGCTGATTTGAGGTTTTTTCTTTATGAAAAAAGGAAAATATCGTGACATTTAATAATTTAATTGTTTTGGATATCCTATTAAGACCTGATTGAAACTATTTTAAGTGTTGTGAACGATACATAATATATGAGGATTCTTTGACGCTGCATGCCTCATTCTTTGTGGATTTGTCCTTAAATTATGGATATATCTATTGACTTCATTGATTTTTTTTTTTTTT